GTTAATTTTCAAGGTTGTCGTGGTCGTGGTTGTGGTCGCCGTCGCTGTCGGTGAAACTGATTGCCTTTCAGTAGTTCTGCCGTCGTCGCTCGATCGACCGTCATATTATCATGAATTCTATTCATCTTGGTTAAAAGAAGCGATAAAAAATTCACGTCCTAGTGGTAGCAAGATGGTTTCATTCTCATTTTTCCGAACCCACGTCTGACGTATACAACTCCACTTTAACGCCTTTGGTGTTGTTGTAGTTAGACATTAGCCGTCGTTGCCAGGTAGTGACTATCGATAATATATGCGAACACTCGCCTACAATTCTCATGCATTTTTAAGTTTCCGTGCTTGAAAAGTGTGCTGTTATATCTTCCAGTTATTAAAGAAGAACAAGCCGTTCAACTTTGATCGATGCCCGATGGATATGTCATGCCTTGGACGCCATTAGTATTGCAGAGCTGATTTATATTTAGTGTATACAATCACTTATCCTCCTCGACAAACCTGATAGCAGTTTTCCGACCCAGGAGGGAAGGAGGGCTTGGTTTTTCCTATGCGAGGAATCGAACCAACGACCTCGGTGTTTGTTGCAGGGCACGTCTAACTACTGCGCTAGGCGCTTTCTTTCCAGCTATTATGAATGTTAATTGTTTTTGGTATTTATGAAGGCGCTTCCCATATTCTTTGACGGTGGATTATGAAACGATTAAACCACCGTTTTAACTCTTTTGTGACTGTAGCTCTACGTAGGCTGAAATATTAAATGCAGTGGCGCTATTTTAACGTCTTTGTTTTTCCATAGAATAAGAGTACTGTTCATCATAATAACAGAACTGTCATTCCAACATCATGTTATTTTTGTGATCAGTTATAGCACCTTCCATCACAAATTTAATAGATTCCTAATAGTTTACTTTTCTAAGTAGCGATATTAATACCTTCTTACATGAATACTTGGACGGCCCGTCTTCACTGGTTATGTAGGCCCCAGCGTAATTCCTGTTTTTTTTTGGAGTTTTGCTGGTTTAGCCACTGTGGTTCCCTGTAGTCCCGAGGTCAGCCATGCCAAACTCTGTCCCAGGTCCTCACTGCAACAGCCAGTCGCAACCCTTGTATATCAGAGCGTGATTTGCCACTATGCAACTAATTTGATACAAGGACGGTGTTGTATCCTGGTATTGGTTTACTCCTAGCTGGGCTTCCCGATGCAAACGCCGGACTCTTCAGCTTGGGAGACCCTGCTGGAGGGTGGGGGTGAATCTCCCGCTGTACATCGCGACTCGACACCGAGGAACACTTCCCAGCCACGATGAGGGGGTAAGTCGTTGGGAGAAGCGATATCAATGGTTGTGTTTAAATAGGAACGTACGTTTCATTGACGTTTTCCACTCTAATATGTTGAATACTAAACAGCTTTTAATCCATCGAAGTGCAGTTTCTTTTTATTTGAAAGTACTGATTAACATCTACTTAGAATATTGAACTATCTAGAAAACGTCTTGAGTGTCGAAAATTTTTATTCTTACAACAAATTTCTCATGTGGGTAGTCGAGAGATTCAAGAGTATGGAGATCAGTTACTTATGCTTTTAGTTGTCTACACTAAGCGACAGATCTTTTTGAGATTTATCCCCTTAACGACGAACGGAACTCATTAAGCAGATGAAATTGAACACCTAGATTCCAATAATCTTTAAGATTTAATGCAGTTTAACACTAATTCACGGTTTACAACTAACTAGGTTCTGTCCTGACAAGAAAAAAGCGAGCATACAAGTTCAATATCTATTCTTTCGTTTTCTTTTTAATTGACTTTATGTGATTTCATCAATTAATGCTCAAGCTCGAAACGGTAACAATTCTTATTTGGTGTAATCACACACAGAACATAATTCGATTTCCGCCTACTAGTGTTGCTATGATTCTCTTGTGATTGTTGCTCATAGAGCTATTCGTCACTAATATATTGCCAAACGGTTTCCGTTCCATTTTTTTTCGTTTTGCCGTTTTTGATCGATCGTGGTCATTTAAAGTGACATCGATCGATAATGATCGAAGTAACTTTTGAGAAATTTGCTCATTGTGCACACTCACTTGATTCGCACCGATCATCACCAAAATTACTGAATGCTGTTCAGCTAGTCATCATCATTTATTTTCGAAATATGATTATTCATCTGGCAATTCAACACACCAATAATTTTCTTCACATAAATTGCACTCTAGCATATGTGCACCCTTTATGAGCATGACGTCTCTCCGCACGCACTGCGCTCACTTATCACCTTAAGCAATTTGCTGAATTCATTATTAGGAGTGTTGCTTGAGGCCTAGGACTAGGACGGCGAAGTGGTGGTGGTATCTACCACTCAGACATTTCGATTTGTATCGAATATTGAAATGATGTTACCATTACGCTAAAAGGATAAAGGATAAAGCTCTCGGCAGTGATCAATCTTTTAGGGATGCGCCATGAATTCGATTTCACTAAGTATCGTTGATGATTGAATGCATATCTATCTGGCCTTTACAAGGACTCGTGGTGGTCTACCGATGTATCGAGTTAGTGCTGCTATCCTCCCAGACAACTCTGACACCAACTTGCCGACCCCGGAGAGATGGAAGGCCTGGTGAGCTGGGGGAATCGATCCCATGTGTGTTTTCAGGGCTCCTCAGACTACTGCGCCACACGCTTTCATACCATTATACTACGTTTCACTAATGCTGTCCCAGTGTGTTCTCAGTATGCTGTGGGAATATCGTGGTAGCAGCAGCAGCAGCAGCTAAGTGAATTGAGTTGTTCTAATGCGTGAGGCTTGCTGTAGTCGTTGTAGGTAAGTAAGTAAGTAAGTGCCTCTACACTGCTTATCATCGGTGTTTTAAATTGGTGATATCAGTGTTGTACCGGTATGAATCGAGATTTAGTGTTTTCCATACTATCCTGAATGCAAGCCTAGGAACTGAATTTCGCTATCCTATTGTCTTAACTCTACGTCTATGCCTCATCCATCCATCCACTCTTCTCATTGTGGCTAAGCGATCCAGTGACGTAGTTTTTTTTACTTTCTGTCTCTATGTCTCTCTCTTTCTTTTTCTCCTTGTCTCTGTCATCATCCATTACACGTCTGTGTATGCTTTTGTTACTGTGAAGTTACTGCAGTAGTTACAAGTGCCACTAAATCCACTCACATATCTGAAAGTACACATAAGACATGCGTAACCTTATATCAAATAATTTTAGTTTGAATAATGCTTATAAGAAATTCGTCTGACCGGGTCACCATCACTAATCATGTTTCCACCGTTCAAAAGGTTGAGTCAACCTTGATCTTTCATCTTTATGACGACGTTTCGTTGATCGTTTTGCTTGCGAGGATTCTTCGAATATAGAGGTATTTTTTCTTCTTTTGGCGTGAATAAAATGATGTAAGTGGATTTAAATGCTAACCACAGCCAGGCCCAGTAGGGAAATGTCAAGCCACTTCGACTTCAACTAACGCAAGTAATCTCATCAACGTTAGGTTGTTAAAAGTGACTAGTTGGTTCTATTCCTAACCCTGATTGCGTTGCAAGTAACCAGTTATCCTTTCTGCAGCTTTCTCACAATGAAGCGCATTTGATAAGCACTTGTCAAATATATATGTAGACCTTGATTCCTGTTTAAGTTAACCATCCTGTTATTCCAGCTGTTCTTTGTTCGTAGCTAAAAACCCTATGTTTAGGACTCAAGTGCGAAGTAATCATTGGACATATCAGATTTTTGGTCACTTTATTCTGCTACCTGTTTCTCTCTGTTATGATTGGGAAGTGTGAGTGAAGTGGGAAATGAAAATGTGTGCCAGTTGCTGTTTCAGAGCGCGTCATCATTGTGGGGTTTTTTTCTTTGAGCTTCGAACGGATATCCCGGTCATTATCGATTCATAAATATAGCACTGCTTTCCGTTGCGATTCTTACTCTGGCTGACTTCTTTGCTGTCGTGTTGTGTTACAAAATAGATGATCGTCACGATCATTTTCCTTCCGTTACCCAATAACGTTGTCGGCGTCTGATCACTATTTCCTCGACAAGCGAGCGAGCGAACGACCGAACGAAGGAGGAATCGTGATTCATCCCCAGTATCTATGGCGACGTTTACGTTTTCATTCCGTGAATATCACATACTGCTCTTCGATCGTCGTTGCTCTGGTCCGAGGTGGTCTGAGGTCCTGCGAGTTCGCCGAGTTGCTGAACCGAATCGGTGGTGGTTTGCATCGCAGCCGAGCACGGACGACGGGTGTGGCCCAGCCAGTCGAGGGGAGCGAGCCACTGACGGCCAACATATGTTCTAGTCGCGGCGTTCTGGCATCGATTGTTTTAGTAGTGCAATGAATTTTCCTAACGTATGTATTCACTTCACTGCTGGGATTTGTTCCTTACATATTAATTTATGTTGAATATGAAACCGATATGGTCAGTTAAACATATGAGCTAATCTGTCCATAAGACCGTAAGCGATTATAAGGTGTTTGTAGTTTCTTAAAAAGAATGTGCCGAACAGAAAAAAATGCGTAAAATTGGGGTCTGTTCCTTGCAGTTGTAAATGATATTAAACATTATTACGGTGTACTGACAAGAAGAGGTGGTTCAGCTGTCCATGAAGAAGCTGCTCACTTCATATTTCGACTTTCTTTTGAAAGTTCTCAGTCTCATATCGGAAGTATGCTTGTTTCTGTATTGAATATGTGAATGAAAACATTACTCCTTACATCTCCAATATCGCTGTGTTCTTTTCCTAGTAACTCTTTTCTTGTTCGTTCTCTTTTTCTATTTCGAAATTGTCGTTTTATTCTTTATGAAAAAAATTATTCTCAAGTTACTCTTAATACTTCAGGCAGGCGGCCTTGTGTGCAGGCCATCAGTTTCTCGTTTGGGTGGCTGCCGGAGCGAAACGTTCCTTTCCGTCCTCTCTTTTCCAAGTCTTCCTCACAGCTTTTCTCCTATCATCTCGTTCTATCAAAGACCACAAGACAATGGCAAAAGGCAATAATCAGATCGAGGAGAACACCACTGTGAGTTGTTTCTCCGCATCATCTTCATTTAAAGATCTCATTTTTGGTTATTTTTCGTGTTTTATCAGAGAAATTTTTCTGTACGTGTTTCCTTTTCTGTTCTGAGAACGTTGGAAGTTCGTTACTGGCGAGGTTTTTTTTGCTAACCGTTCTCTTACAGCAAAATTCTCGGTATACCCAAACCTTCCTTACCATTTATTCTATATGTCTAAGTATGCATATGTATCTGCGTGTGAACGTAGGCGTAAGACTTTGTATGTGTGACATTTCCCGTATTTGATTCCCTTGTATTCATTTTCCTGCTGTATAACTAGCCGGCTTGTTTTGCGACAGTGGAATTCCCTGGTAACTGTAGTTGAGCACATTAATACCACTTAGAATCGTTTTACAATTCATTGACTGCCTCACTACTGGCTATGAAATCTATGAGTTCAGACAGATTTAATAAACGTAATAAGTGAAAAAATTTCAGCTCATGAATGGCAACAACAAGTCATCAGACTACGATGAGTCATTTTCCCGCTTTCTTTATAATAAGGACAGAGGAACAGTGCTCGGCAGAACGGCAAAGTCGTGGTGTAAGTGGCATTCTTAATAGTTGTAAAGGTATCAGGGACATTATAAACCTGATACTTGAATTCACATCTTTTTTCAGGCCAAATTACCGTTTTCTACATTATATTTTATTCCTGCTTAGCTGCTTTTTGGGTTGCTTGCCTTGCAATATTCCTAAACACACTTGATCCAAAAGTGCCACGTTTCTATGGAAAAGGTACCATCATCGGCATCAACCCTGGTATGTACTATACTGCGTTTCCTACTTTTGTTCCTTCCTGTATTACGTACTCTTTTAGACGTAAAGTACGATCTGAAGCGATGAACAAAAGTCGTGTTGCTTGTCCTTCTCGTTGCTTTCATCCTCTTCTCTGTGTTTCTCTTTCGATTTCATCCGTGCCGTTCAGAGAATTTCGTATTTGTTCAGCAGAGTCTTGTTTTATTCACTCGTAATCTTGTTTCGCTTGCATTCTACGTTGTGCACTGTTTGACTACCGTGAGCCGTGTGTGCTGCTAGAGCAAGTGCAAACAACAGGATGAAAAACTTCATTTCGACAGATATTATAAGAGCTATATATGTTATCCGTTGAGATAATTGCTCGCTATCGTAAAACTGATTAGCCCTGAGCTGAAAGACGACGTGAAAGACACGTAGGATACTATTAACACTTGCCATATAAAGAAATGAAGGCCAATTTTTTGTACGATTTCTGTTCACCGAGCACACGTGAACATAGTCACCGTTGCTTGCTAATCTTCGAAATAGATCCAAACATATTGCTTAACCATCTTCACGAAATTACAGCCTTGTGCTTTAGCAAAAGTTGATTCTTCTTACCCTTGATCGGGTCATATTTGTTCGCTGGGCGTTTCCAACCAACTCGGTGCCCATTTAGCTAAAGAAGTGATTGTGTACTATAAAACGGTGCAGAGCGGCGATTAAGTGAAGCCAAAAGTATCCCTATGCTATATGCTGTGGAATGTGGTGATGCGGTTAATTTATTGCAAAATTCATTACCAGCTTATTTAGTATATCCTTCTTTTTTGACATTTCTTTTCAGTTTTTCGCATTTGGCAGAAGAATACACGGGACTGATTCAGATTGGTCTCTTGGCATCAAGTGGAAGATGAGTTTAGACGGGCATGTTGATAGGAGAGTGGAGCGTAGAATTTGGTTAAATCACACAGAAAATCTCGCCCATCACAGGCCGCAAATGTGGAATTGCCAGATCTTAGCATTCAGTGGAAGAATAAACGATATGTTGTCTTCCCATTGAATGCAAATGACTTTATATTGATCGTTTGAACACTTAAGTGAAGACAGTCTTCTTGATAGTATTCGTCATTTATGACCTAACTTTTCCACTAGTGTATTTATTATAATTCGTTTTGTAGTATGAGGAATGATGCGAAACTGGATGCTTACCTTTTTTTTCAAGTACGTAACAAAACAAAGTGAAAGCTGACCTAATGGAGTGGAAGGAAAGATCATATTCATGAATCTGATCATAAACAACTGAATGGACTCATGGTAGAGCGTATGCGGAGCGTTAACACATTTGGTCGCCTATCATCTTGGATCAGTGGTTTACACTTAGACATTTATAATTAGATCTCTTCAAGGGCACCTGTAATTTCTTGTATTGAACCTAGCTTGGTTTCCGTACCGAAATCTTGAATTTCTCACTTCTGGACTTGCATGTTTTTGTGAGGAAATCCTTACTGCTCTACCTCGAAATTCTGCACGTGAGAGTAGCCTCTTGCTTATGTGAGATGGTAATCCATCAAAGAGGAATAGCTGAATGGAAAGCAGGAGAACTCGTCAGCAACAAGTGTAGGGATTTCTTTCAATGTTCGAAATGCCCTGTAGTTGTTCGAAGGTAGATTTCTGCGAATCGGTCTCCTATGGTTCTCCGTAAACCAGAGGAAAACATGTCTGCTACTCGCATTTCGAAAAACGGTTTTTTCCTACGTTTTAATACTATTATACTGTGTTTATGGATGAGGCATATTTTCTTGTGGACGCACCCATCAACGTAACATTTGCAGTCCTTTTTCTTCTGTTTTTGAGATGAGCATTTCTCCATCAGACGCCCGTCGTCTTCAAGAGACTTGCGTCATTCCCGCGTCGTTCAGATAATCGAAATTTCGGCTTCGAATTGCGCTGTTGTTGGCGATGTTCAACGTCACAGATCGATATCCCAGTGGGTTGAGTTGAGTTTTTCTATCGCTGCTCGTGTTGGTTGAGTGGGATGCAGACCTTCATCCAGGGCTCCTGCTGTACAAGTAATATTGCAGTGATCGCGTATCAGTTGGTAGAAACGCCATAATCGAACAAATATGTCCGCCACATATAGACTATTCCGTTTGCATGGCTGAATAACCGGAATGCTTAACAATGTTCGAATGTCCAAATGATACCATGGCGATGCCGGGAATCCGATAATAACCTCTCGAAGCCCTTGTTGAAGCTCTTGAAACTTTCTTATATTATGGAAAAATTGATATATGTGTATCGTATAAAAGACACGGTAAAGAACATGCGGAAAAGATTAAAGCTATTGAGCTACAGTGTTCCTCGTTCTGTCTGCTTTTCTTCATGAAGCTTTCACCAAACACTTCATTGTCTTTAGCAATGTGTGTGATAGAGGGTGGATAGCACAATGGTAGTGATGTCCATCACCACGAGCGTTGTACTAGTTCAATTCCGCTCCGGGCCAACCGAGGTCGGGAAACTGATGCTGGATTTATCTGAAAAAGATGGAAATGCAAATAATTTAATTATACGTGGCTAACTTGTGTTTAATAAGGCTAAACGAACGACATGGCTTACCAAAAAGAACGCAGATTATTATTTTCTCTTCAGGAGTTGGATATCAACCATGGCTTAAAGAGAACCCAGATTCTACGCTCATCAAGTACAATATGAGAGATGAGAAATCATGGGAACCATATGTGAAGCAGGTATGGTTACGCTTTTATCATTTAAATCAGGTGTACTTCTCAACAATTCCACTCTACAGTTGGAAGAATATTTGGAAAAGTACAGTGATACCAATGGGACGAGGGAATGTGGTGCCAATGACAACAACAGCGGTCTTGTTAATGATGGCGTTCTGGTCTGCCGTTTTTCCTTTTCTTTAAATTGCCTTTATCTCTAAGAATCAGTGATTGGTCTTTTCTTCAGCCATGCCGTTTCGATTTGTCCAACTTCACAGCAGCTGGTTGTGGACCGGATAAGCAGTACGGCTACGGTAGAGCCGGCAGTGTGAGTGAATTTAAACCAATGGTTTTCTTATTTTCTACACTTCTTCCAGGCATCACCTCGTATCTTTTAGTTCTGTCTATCCTTTTTCTCCCTCCTTCTATCTCGCTCTCACACGTATTCTATCTGTCTTTCCCATTCTTTCGTCATTAAACGCGCCATTACGCAGCTTTTATGCCTCTTTCTGCCAATCGATGGTTCAGAACAAACTCCGCGCATGTCGGATTTTTCAATTCAGTGCCAGAATTCTGGAATTCATAAGTGTCTGAGGCTGTTATGACATCTGTTTATATTGCACATGTGCAAACCAATTTTTTAGCAGCTAGAGCTGAAAGTGTGCATAAAAATTTAGCCGTGTGTTGTTCTCTCACTCAATCGTCTCATTGGATGGCAGCCAGTTGACTATGCGCCGGACTCAGTGCCGGAAAATGTGAAAGGCCGCTACAAAAGTGGATCAATCGCACTGTACTGTGACGGGGCTGTAGGTCTTCAGAAGTCATTACCTGTGGGTATTCAATGTTCATTTTTCTTCGTTTAGAATAATCCAGATAAGGAGCACATTGGTCGTCTGAAGTACATACCCGAACATGGCATTGATGGAAGATACTACCCATATGTATATGTGCCCAATTATCACCAACCTATTGTAAGTCATATTTCTTGATATAATATCTGTGATCCAGCAAGTTTTTGTGCGCTTTTTTTGTTGTGAAGCAAAAGCACATAGCTGAAAAAATTTCGTTTTCAAATGTTACCACAGCTGAATACTCTGTTAATTTTCTTCTAGCTGACAAAGGATATCATTCTCGATTTTCGTTTTTATATTTCTATTATATTTCTGCAGTAAACTCCTTGGCTTTGCAAGAAAACCATGTTATCACTAGGAGTATTTTAATGAGCTCATTATCTAAGCGTCTATGTTGGCATACAGCTTTTTCTTCAGCGTCCATATATTCATTTGATTACAGACATAACTGTTAGAAAGGGTTATCACCGGATAGGTTGTCCACTTGTTATCATTATTAATTGTTGTTAGTTGTGAATCAAGAAGTGTTGGTGGGGACCACTTAACTTATAAAAAAGGGTAAAGCTCTCGTCGTTGATCAATCCCTGAGGGATGCGCCGTGCGTTCAGCTTCGTTAAGCATCGTTGGAATGATTGAATGCATGTGTGGCCTTTACAATGACTCGAGGTGGCCTACCGATGTATTGAGCCAGTGCTGCCATGCTCCCACACAAGTCTGGTACCAATTTTCTGACCCCGGAGGAATGGAAGGCTTGGTGGGCCATGGTCGCAGAAATCGATTCCGCGTGTGTGTTGCAGGTCGCCTCCGACCACTGCGCCACACGCTCCCATTTTAGCTGTTATGGTTGTATAAAATGAGAAACATTAGCTAATGGTTGTCAGTAGAAATGTTTATTTTTAACATTTATATAACAGAAGTGTTTCTACACGGTTTACTATTTCCGGATAGAACACGAGTGGTAATAATTTTTGGTTTTGTAGCTTCAGAAAGGATTAAAACATATTCAAGAGTCACTTAGTTTTAAATCGCGCACCCTAAAACATAGTTTGGTTGACGTATAGACTGGAGTATTACAGAAGGACCAAACCCAGAGACAAATTTCTCCGATATAGGGGATACCTGGTTAATGTTTTTACTAATACGTTTGAATAATTTGTTCAGGCGATGGTGAAATTCGAGTCGCTGCCACGTAACAAACTGGTGTTGGTCGAGTGTCGCGCGTATGCGTTGAACATTGAACACGACATCACTTCACGGCTTGGTCTTGTTCATTTTGAACTTTTTCTAGAGGATAAAGTAATTGAGACGAAGCCGTCATCGTTGTGATCTGCACCTGAGGAGTAGCGCTGCAACATGCGCACAAATCGTGCACGCAATTTGCATGTTTTTTATCTTCACCTTTTTTCGTATTGATTAATTTCAGTTTAAGTACACGTTACTGATAAATCCCCACACTCAATTATGCATACTATTCAACGTAAGGGAAAATTGCGCTTACTCTTATATGGTCTAAATAGTTAAACGGTTCATCGACTACCACCGTGATTGTTGACAGCGATTTCGACGTTATCGTTTTTGTCATCATGATCATCACTCATAGATAGATACACCTTCAAGTTTTTGCCCTGCTGATCACTGATTATGTTTCGTGTCAGCGTCGATTCGGCACATAGAAGAGAGTAGATATAGATTTCAGATCTGTTATGTCTCACTCAGATAGAGTTCAATTTTAGATCCGGTCTAATGATGTCTTCCTTGTATTTGTTTGTAACCGTCACCAGTTGTCTAAACCTCATCGCTTCACGTGGGGTCTGCGTCGTTCCGCTCCCCATTATGCTCACTTGTTTAGTAGTTTTTTTGTTCGGCATCTTTGATTATGCGTTCCATTCTCCCGCCTCCCTATCCACCATCAACTATGAAGGATTTTTGTGTGCGTTATTCGTTCCAAAAATCGTGTAATAGATCCGTTGTGCATTTACATTCTCTTCACTGGCGGAGTTATCACAATCATGATGGGTACTAATTGATGGGTGGTGGTTGTGGATGCTCGGTGGCTGGTCCGCATATCGCCTTTAGATGGCTCGCGTTTGTCGGGTCCTCGATTACACTGCATTTGCAAGTAAGAATAGGACTTGTTTTGTGTAGGGTGTTCGATGTGTTTCTACGTTGTTCAATTTTAATTGTCACATGTTGTATCGTGTTTTTCGTTTTGACAGAATAGAGATTTGTCTAATGGTAATTTTTGATCATTATAATATGTTTTAGTTGGTTATTTTGAGAATTTTGATATATCTGCTATGTGTAAAGGGTTGGCGCCCGAATTTTTGTAGACATAGGAAGGGCTAACAAACTGTACACAGCAATCTATTCCAGTTGTGCTTTGTAATTCTTCAACTGTTCTGGCGCATAACCTTTTTAGTTGTAGAGTTGTATGGTAGCTGTATGTCGTAGTAATTCTTCTAAGCAATTATTAAACTCACATTCAAATTGTATTTGAATCTTCAGAATGGTATTTGATAAAAGATAAAAACTGATGAAAAACATGGGGTTTTGGTACATTGTGGGAATATTTTTAGAATTCAGTGTTTTATTCTTGATCAGACATGAGGTTGTTAAGAGTAAGTATTATTCGATGAAATTTACTTACTGGATTTCTCTGATTTTGGGTTATGCAAGTGTCTGGCTATGTATGTAGGTTGCGTATCAATTTGACCTTTCTGAACTCTGAAGAGAGCGAAACCATAGAGACGTCACCCAGTATTGAGTAAATGTTGTTATAAATAACCTCATATTTACATATGAAGAAAACGTTGATTGTTGAACATTGTCGAGGTCAATGGAAAGTCTGTTGTGGGGATTTTTTGCCGTCCTGTACGCCAATCAGTCGAAGATAAGGTGGGCAGGATACATAATGCGTATGAATGGCAACCGATGGGCAAGAGCCGTTAGTGACTAGATTCCTCGGGATGTCAAACGTACTGCAGGAAGACCACCGACCCGATGGTCAGAGTTCTTCACAAAGAGCCTTAAAGAAAGATATGATGCCCGACGAGTCCCTAAAGTGAGCAGAACCCACTGGGCTGCTCTTGCACGCGACAGGGAAAATTGGAAGATTTACTGGTGCCCGTTCGAGTCACTCGACGATCAACGGGACTACAGGTGATACAGGTGACAGGTGATGATTTTCGAGTTTTAAGACGACTATCCTTTGCAGTTTGGAGGATTTTATTTTACTAACTCGATAGAATTAGAACAGCAATGCGATTGTGTACAATGTTTTCCTACTTTTCTTTGAATTTTAGAGACATTTTTAACACAGGAGGTAGGGAGAAGAAATTGTTCAATGAACCACTCAGGTTTGTACCTGAAGCAGAAAATTTGGTTGTTTCCGACAAAGTTGGGTTATTCAGGAAGAGATTATTAATAACGACTGCGGAAAACCGGTGAATCCGTGTTGATGAGATGGCTTCAACGGTGTTAGCAACTCAGATGCTATGGATGATTACTCTGTGCAGATTATCGCATTAGCTTTAGCGGTTTTACATTACACAAACTTTCAAATATTTCTTCCCATAAGCGTCCATGAACTGCTGTATAAACAAACACTTATGTTGGTGTTTAATTCATTGCCAGGAACTATTGGGCAACAGAAGTTATTTCGCACCTATCTAATTGCGAATGAAACAGCTATTGATTTATTTAACACATTTATAGGGAATTACGTGATTAATAAATCAGTTGGTTTGTTGGCACGGTTAATTGATCTCTTTTCTCTCTCTATGAGCTAATGGGAAATATTTTGTCGTAAAGTTGGACATGGAAACGTAGTCCTTTCTTTAGCTCTAATCATTCAAGTTCTAATCGTGCTCGCATTTCTTCATTATGGCTCTTCAAACCGTGGGCAACCAAGGAACTGAGAGAAATTTTCCTGAGCACTATGTATACCATCATCTTATCGATCATTTAGACAGTTGGTACTGTCACTGAGAGGGAAAATCACTTGAGTCTCTTCCGTTCCTCATAGTGTTTCACGGAGTTGTTCTTCATGCGGTAGTGGTTGCCCGACTATATCCTGATGGTATTTAAACGCCTTGCAATGCATCCGTTGCCATCTATGAATCCTGAATGTCCAGCAGCGTCGCTGCGACTATTGCCATTGCTTTGGCACATTGTAATGGACATAGTTTTTCAATATTCGTTATTAGATCTATATGAAGTTGTCAAACCGCATTTATAATGCTTAAGATTGTTAAGATACTCAAATCACGGTCTTACTTCAGTTAAGTTGTCTTCAATAATATAACACTCAATTGGAGATGCTTAAACATACATAGTGGATTATGGATCGTGCTTTCGGGATTGATCATTTTTTAAGGAATGCTCAATGCATTCGTCTTCATTAAGCACCGCCAGAGGTGACGTGTATTTGGCCTATAAGGTGGCTTCGGTAGGCCTGGTTATCTATTACGTTAGTGTTGTTATCTACCACAAAAGTCTCGTACCAATTTGCCGATCTTGAAAGAATTGAATGTTTGGGAGTCTGTGACAAAACATGGAACCAACGGCCGCGTTTGTATTACAGGGTACTTCTAACCAATCTCCTATACGCGTTCCTTTAGACAAAGGTGCAAGAGGATCTAGAAGTTATGTGAACGTTTTGTTCGTATTTTTGTTGAGCAAGCGCGAGGTGTTACTATTCTTTGTTCACGATTAAGCTGACGTTTCGGCGGATTTCGCCTTCTCCAGAGCCGCTTTCTATGAGGTTTCCACTAAGTATGTCACGTAGAACGTTTTGTATTTATTCACCAACAATGGCTTGAAATCCAAGCTTAACGTACAATTTCAAGAAATGATAGCAAAGTAGCAATGACATAACGACGCGATTCTGTCACAACCGTTGCCTAGAGACCGGCGAATTACGAGAGACAGCGATCATTGATCATTATCGAAGTTTTTTTATGGCTCCACAGGAAAATGATGAAAGCAGGAGCTAAAGGTGATAGAATACAAATGTTTGGCCGACGGAAAACTTTTTGATAACGTTTTACTGATAAGATAACCACTCACGTTAACGCTACATCGCGTCATTTCAATCATATTATGGAATAAATCATCACTGGCGATAAATAACGAAGTGAGTCAGTGAAATAGGAAGTGACAAGAGCATTTGGAAAAATTCCCGGAGATTGTTGTTTTCTACTTGTTGTTATTGTTAACCTGACGGCTAACAAAATTAGCCAGTGAGTCCATACTTGTGAACGGTTGCGTCATTTGATAGTTCAACAAGAGGTGTTACGTTTTTCCCTCTTAATGTTTCCTTTATTAGCCACTTGATAGCATCATTTTATTGTTAACAGTATATTGGGTTAAAAATAAATTTTAGGACAGAATCTTTCTTGTGCAAGGTCCGGATGTCGCTGCTGACCCAGAATTCTGTACTTGATCAGACCACTGCCTCCTATGTGCAAGATTCCATGTCTCGCGGAAAAGAGAAAAAGCTGCTAAATTCAAAAAACGAAGTCTCAAAACCACCGTAAACTGGGACCTATTCAATTCAATAGTCGGCTGTTGGAAAGATGCCGTTGTCGATAACATCGACGAAGAATACGATCGGCTCATTCAATATCTTCACGTTAGCGCTGTGAAAGCTCAGAGTTCGAAAGACACCAAGAAACGTCTGTCTCCAGAAACACCCGAGCTGATGCCCTAGCGTGGAATTGCGCGAGTTGCAGGCAACCGCGAACTAACGTCCGAACTAGCAAAGCAATGCAGGGAGACGATAAAAGAAGATCTTAAAGAGTGAAGTGTAGCAGTAATGGCCGAAGCTGCAGAGGCTGGGAAAAGCATTCGCAAAGCTCATCGAAGCTTCGCCAATTACATGACCAAGATTATTGCACTTCGTTGCCCAGACGGAACAGTTGCAGCGTCCAGAAAGGCAATGGAGAAAATCATTCACGAACACTACTCGGATCTCTTCGATAGCCACGTCCATCTTTCGACATATGAAATTAAAGAGAATGGATATGTTGTACCACCGGTTCTCCCTTCCGAAATCCAATATGCGATTTCGCCGGTGAAAAATCAAACAGCATCAGGTCCGGAGAGGATAAGATCAGAACACCTGAAGAACCTTCCGCCAGTCCTCTTAAATACATTGGCTCGGCTCTTCACGCGTTATCTGTCTGAATGCAAGGTCCTTACTCATTGGAAGACCAGCAAGACCGTGTTATTGTTCAACAAGGGTGACCTACACGATATCGGCTACTATCGCCCAATATACTTTCTGTCCGTCGTCTGCAAACTTTTCACTCGAGTCATCCTAAACC